AGCAGTTATTCCCGCAGCCGTTCCGGTGGCCGTTTACTTCCCCCGGGGGTCGTTCCGGAGTCTCCATCACTGCCCCTTCGATGAGCTCCTTCCATTGGAAGCTTTTGCATCTGGAATATTGTGTCCAGTTCTGGGCCCCTCAGTTCAGGAAGGACAGGGAACTGCTGGAGAGAGTCCAACGCAGGGCTACAAAGATGATTAAGGGAGTGGAGCATCTCCCTTGTGAGGAAAGGCTGAGGGAGCTGGGTCTCTTTAGCCTGGAGAAAAGGAGACTGAGGGGTGACCTCATCAATGTTTACAAATATGTAAGGAGTGAGTGTCAGGAAGATGGAATTAAGCTTTTTTCAGTGATGACCTGTGATAGGACAAGGGGTAATAGGTGCAAATTGGAGCATAGGAGGTTCAAGGTGAATATCAGGAAAAATTTTTTTACTGTGAGGGTGATGGAGCACTGGAACAGGCTGTCCAGAGAGGTTGTGGAGTCTCCTTCACTGGAGTCATTCAAAACCCGCCTGGACGCCTTCCTGTGTGATGTACTCTAGGTGACCCTGCTCTGGCAGGGGGGTTGGACTAGATGATCTTTCGAGGTCCCTTCCAACCCTTATGATTCTATGATTCTATGCTCAGAGCATGATGTCTGCAGAAGCAGTTGGCTGTCCCTAACGATAGTAACATACCTGATTTATTGTCCTACCTCCCTGACACCTGCCAGCCTGGAGCCGATTAAAACTGAAACATCCTGTGTCTGGACAGTGTTAGTGCCAGGCGTTCATCAAAAGAGACCTTATGGAACGTTCGTTTAATACTTAATTGCAACAAACAAGATCCAACGGGTCCAACAGACCTTATAATGAATTTCTTTATAATATACATTATTAGTTTGCTTTTTAAATCCCTAATATGAAGCAAGTTTGTGTTCATCAGTTTTCCATAATCTGTTCCCTCTCATCACAACCAGCTTTAGCTACACCCCTGTGCTTTGTTTTCTTTATAATTATTGTATTTTAGTACTGGCCAGTAAGTTTAACAGATCAACGGCATGGCACCATCTCTGCTATGCATGATGTCAAAAAAAGAAAGCAAACAATCTCCCTCTCCATTTTTCACATGGCTTCTTTTGTTTGTTTATTTGTGGGGTTTTTCAGTTGTTTTTTTTTTTTGGCACAGGCAGCCTGGGTTGGGGGTGTACGCAGACCCTGGCCCAGCCGGCAGGAAGCAGCATGGCCACCAGCTTCTGCAGCAGCCATGGACAGCATGGATCAATATATGCTACTTTTTAATAGCACTTAACATCTTAAAATTTGTTGTGATTGCTTTTTTGGCTTGGATCTGTTGTCGTTCTAAACTGGTGTCATGTCTTTCTGATTCATCTGGGCCAAGTGCAGAGCCTGAACCACCTCTTGAGACTGATCTGTAATAGGCCAGTTAAAGTTAAACACGTTCTAGTTAAATGTTATGCATATTCAAATGTTATATGTGTTAAATGGCTATATATGTTGAATTATTACCTGTTTGTTGAAAAACATCGTGTACATTGCTGCTCTCTTTCTCTCTCCCCTTCTCTTTTCTCTTTACACTTTTCCTGTGTCTTGGGCATAGCACCATGAGAGGCTGATCTGCAGTGGCTGAGCCACGAGGTGGATGTAAGGGACCGTGGGTGTATTGTCTCAAACATTGCTGCTCCTATGCCTTGTAAAAGTACCTGGTCAACATTTCTTGTAGAAGAGACTGTGCAGGGGTGGTTTACTTTGACACGGTCAACCACAAGCGACATGGGAAAGTACCTCAGACAGGCAACAGCGCCTGCCCCGCACTGTTCCTCAGCCTGTGCATGAGCCTGGGCCCGGGGTACACCTGCCTGAGACCCCCCCGTGATGGAGCCGGAGTGGCGTGATGCAGGGCAAGGCAATGTCAATCAATTCTAAAAACTCACTGACTGTTTCCAGGAGAAGGAGGGGACTCGGGCAATAAACACTGCATGGGCAACACCAAGAGTCTGAAGCGTCAGCACCACGAGTCCTCTGACGGGACGTCGTTGGAGCGTGTAGGTGGCTCTTGTTGGAAGCTTGCCCACCATGAGTCCGTCCAGTGGGATGCCGTTGGATCACCGGGGTGCTATGCCAGTCTATCCCTCTTTTCTAACTTCCTTCCTTCCTTCCTTCTTTCTCCTTTTCTATTGCTGAGTTGTGAGAGCTCTAATACATTGCTCTTTGGCTGCCAAGTGACATCTGACCTCATTTGTGTCTTAATTTCACCCCGGAGTAAATGTTGGGGTCCTTGGTCGTACTGGGGACCGGAACGGGCCGTGACATTACCCCTGGGAAATCCAACATGTTGGGGAAGAAGCAGCTGCACCTTGGCAAAGCTTGGTCCAGCTTCAGTGGTGGCACCGGCTGTGCCAACTCTTCAGCGTCATTATTCTCAGTATCACTAATAGATTTGGGGGGCAGGGGATGTTTGCAGCTGCTTGGAGCCCCCATCCTCTGAGAAAAATGGGTGGAAAAGAGGCAATTTTGGTTCAATTGTCTGGAAAGGGCCTCCCAGGGGTGTCACATTCACCCTGAGAGCACTGAGGTCAGTGTCTTTGTGTGTCCCCTGGCACAGGCTGGTCCCTGGACTTGTCAGCAAAGCTCTTGCTGCAGTTTTTGCATGTGAAGGGCTTCTAACCAGTGTGGGTCTACATGTGCTGGGTGAGGGTGGACTTCTGGGTGAAGGTCTCACCACGGTCATCGCAGACGTACAGCTTCTCACCAGTGTGGACAGGGCGGTGGGTGCTGAGCTTAGAGCTTTGCATGAAGCTCTTTGCACAGTTTCCACAGATTTTTAGCTTCTTGCCAGCGTGGATGTAGCTGTGCCAGGCGAGGGTGAACTTGTTGCTGAAGCTCTTGCCACAGTCATGGCAGACATACAGCCTCTCTCTGATTTGGGACCACATATGTCTCTGCAAGACCAAGCACTGCCCAAAGGTCTGCTGGCCCTCGTCACAGATTTTGGTGACAACCACAGTGCCCAGTGGCTTCTGTTCACCAATGCACAGGCAGCAGCCCTTGGACAGATGCTTACAGAGGCGCTGGTTGTGGTCAGAGCTGTGGCTGGAGGTCTTGCAACAATCGCCACAGATATTGCCACAGTCCTACAGCCTCTTGCTGGAGTGGACATGGATGTGCTGGAAGAAGTGGGAGACTCTTCTGCTGACCTCTTGACCAACTGCTGCAGTCTGGGGTCAGGGCTGCCCCCAGAACTGTAACAGACACTTTCTGTTAACCTCTCTTTCCTGAAAGGGAAAGGGAAAAAGGGAAGGGAAAGGGAAGGGAAAAAAGAAAGAAAAGAAAAGAAAAGAAAAGAAAAGAAAAGAAAAGAAAAGAAAAGAAAAGAAAAGAAAAGAAAAGAGCTTTAATGCTACCACTAATAATAATATTAGTAATAATGATAATAAAATAGAATATGTACAAAAACATACAAAGTTAGTACCAAACCCAGCTCCCCCTGATGGCAGTACATCACCATCACCCCTGGCTGGGATGCAGCCCCCGGGGATAGGGTCCCAGGCTGGACTCAGCTACAGAGGGTGACTGACTCCAGGAGCTGGATTCTGGAGCTCAGTTCAGGAGCACAGGGCTCAGATCAAAGGCAGGATGGATGAAGTCCTCCTTGGATGCTGCCCACTGCAGGAGAGGCCAGCAGGCCAGAAGAAGATGGAAGAGAAGACAGAAAAAAGCAACAGAAGGTCTTGCCTCTCCTGATCCTTCAGCTTTACTGGATATGATGGCTGTGGGATGGAACACCCCACTGGTGAAGCTTAGGGTCACTGATGCTCCCTGCTCCTCTCCACAGGTATGGGGTGCTATCTGCCCCCTCCGTGTGGGATCCAAGCTTAGCAGTGGCCTTAGGCTGCACACCAACCCCTGGCAGTAACTCTAAACATGAACTCTCATCACTTCTAAAGCCAGTTTGTGAAATGTTGCTAACTTCAGACAACGCAGTTAATTAGAAGAGCTTTAGCTAGAAAGTTAAAATTGTTGAGCATAACAGCTCTGTTTCACCCTGAACCAGGACATTCCACCCCTTATTCCATACCATTGATGTCATATCTATCCCTAAGTTACAATTTCTTTCTATAGAAGAGTTCATTAAGTTCATGATTGCAGACTTTCATCTATCATAGCAGTCTCTCAGGGCAGGAGTTCATCATGGTTGGCATCCACAGGCTGCAGATTCACCCCAGGATATTACTGGATGCCACGTGATGCAGCCAGCTCCTGTCATCACTGCGGTGTTATTCTGAAAGACACTTAGGAAATGCTGTTATTATTCTGCAATTAACATACAGCTTTAAAATGGAGTATTTTCACCCCGAGTTAAATTTCCCTGGGGTACAGATTGTACTTCACCATCTCTCATCATCACCCACCAAGTATGTCCAGGTCCTTGAGTGAAGGCAACCCTCGAGGCAGGGAACACCCACACAGTTTTCCCCAGCAAATTCCTTTCCTGCACCACAGGGACTTTATCCCCTTCTACTGCATGTAAAGGGTCTGATTGGGCAGCACCTGCTTGACTGATGGATCCTCTGGTGTTAACTAACCAGGTGGCTTGTGCTAAATGCTTGTCCCAGTTTTTAAAGGTTCCATCCTCCATTGCCTTCAGAGTAGTTTTTAGCAGCCTGTTGTATCGTTTGGTTTTCCCAGAGGCTGGTGCATGACAGGGGAGGTGATAACACCCACTCCATACCATGTTCCTTAGCCCAGCTGTCTATGAGACAGCCTATGTCTCCTAACAGCTTCAACACAGGCCCATACAGGAGAAGAGTTGGATCCTTTCTCCATCCTGTCTAATTCTTCATGCAGTTTTTCAAACGATTTCTCAAAGGATCTCCAGGGCTGATCCACAGGCCGGTATGGGACCAGAGACACTGTCCTCATACTGTCGTGCCCCGGCAGCCCCTCCAGTCACAGCTGGTTCCTCACCATCTCATCCCCACACCGTTGTTGGCAGTGTGGGAACATATTGATGGTGCACTCTGCACAAACATGGGTCGCTGGCATGGCATCCCTGCAAGGTCCACCACCTGCCTGTCACCACAGATGACCTGCCGCACAGCTCACTCCCTCAGGTAGTTAATTCCTTTCTCCATGGAGGTCCATTGGCTCGGGGAGCATTCCATATCATCCCTGAAGGGATACCTGGTCTCTATGGCTGACAGGAGTCGCCTCCAGAGGCTGACAGTGTGGGCCTTTCTCACAAACACCTGGTGAATGCCTCCACCTCTGGACAGGGATCCTAACTGCCTGGCTTCCCAAACATCCAGGCAGATGCCCTTGGCCCCAGCATCGAAGCACCCAGGGCGTGAGTGGCTCACCTTCACAATGGCTAACGTCCTTTCTCCCATTTCTCAGCTCCTTCATAGCCAAAGGTTTAGTGTTGACATCAGCATCTGATGCATCCCCATCAGAAGGGTTCCTTCTGGAAGGACCTGCTTTTTGATCATCTGGGTCTGGGCGAGCTGGGGAAGGCCCTCTCTGCCATCACCCAGCCACACTGAGCGATCTGTTTTTGTGAGGTGTTTCTTTCCCATGGCAAAGGGGTCAGGATTTGCATCTGGTTCTGACTCTGACCCTGATTCTGCTGGAGAGGCAGCCCCCCCCCAGATGTCTCCGGGCCTTTTGGTTGTTTTTTTCTTCTCAAGG